GTGAAAAGTTCAGCGAGATAGCTAAGGACTTGTTATGAATTTTTTTTTTATGAGTTTTACTGCAGTAGGCAGAATTATAGGACCTTTGATTACATATCTATTTACAGGGTAAAATGTTTATTTTTCATATTAGATGTTAACGAGTTTTAGTATTTCACATTATCTTTGTTGTAACTACCAGCTTTAATCTTGAAAATCACTCATTGCAACAGTAGAGTAAATGATGTGTTGAAGATAATATAATAGTCTAGATGACATCAGCAACAAAAAAGTGTAAGCCACATGTTGGGCCTTCAGTTCTCCATGTGGCGTAATAGTCCAGACACCTAATAATGCCAATTGGCTTTGGAAAAACATCCAGTGAGTTAGAAAACAGAAAAGCTGCAGGGAGACATTTAAATGTAGGCAGATCACCCATAGCGATGAGCAGCACAGAGAGACAGATGGTTGCTGTGTGTTGAGCTTGATGCAGTTCCTCACCAGGCGTCATCAGCAGCCACACACCTGCAAGTCTCAGCTGCTCTGTAGTTAAGCTTGAGCTCAGAAAGAGCTGAAAACCGCTGGCAGGTACTGGTGATACTGTTTGTCCTCTCCTTCAAGACATTTCTCATCTCGTGCTTTGTGCCCCCACTGTGTACAATCATTCTGGCGAGCAGCAAGGGACAGGAGGGGTGCTGCGTGATGCAAAAGCAGAAGGGAGGTGGGTGAAAGTGCTGCTCAAGAGCTTCCTTCCAAGTTGCTTCCAGATGTGCAGGTCTCTTCTGTCTGATTCCTTGTTTGATAGCAGGGAGGGGACCAGCTTGGCAGTCTGCAGGCAACTGGAGACATCATCATGGTTCTCCTCCCACCTGCAGTATGGGTGTCACTCCAGCGTCTCTCCATGGGACAGGAGAAGCTACTTCAGAGAGAGTGAGCAGACACTGATCTAAGTAAGGGGGATCCTTGCTGTATTTTTCCTCCCAGATAGCACAGCCTCTGGGTCAGGGTTCCGGGTCAGGGCTGAGCGTGTGCGACTGCCCTGCGGCATTCAGCTCAAGTGCTGAGCAGGGCTTTGAAAATGGGGAGAGCACCATTAAAAGTGGAGCAAAACTGATGTTTCCATTAACTGTAGAGAAGCCCTGCGCTTAGCGAATGTGACAGGCCTGCACCAAGTATGAGGATGATTGTAATACCTCTAATGTTTGCTTTGTGTGTTTGGATTGCAAGCTCTTTGGCCCACAGACTGTGTCTCGTCATGTATTTACACAGATCCCAGCACAGCAGGTCACTGGTCTCAGTAGAGGCCTCCAATCTCAAGTGGTAATAATGAACTGGCTTTCTTCTAAGTGTTATTTACCCAAACAATACTGTGTTCCATTGTGCAGCATTGTTTTTATTAATTTCTCTTTTTTCACTTCAAAAGGAATACAAACATTGTCCAACCAAATGCTGAGGAACAATATGAATGCTCATCTCCTGCTGGGAAATAAAAATTCAAGAGTTTCAAATACCAGTGCTTCCTGCTCCTTTTAGTCACTTTGAGGACTTGTGTCTGATGATAAAATGCTTTAAATCCATTTTAAACCTTGTCCAGGCTGACATTCCTTGTGTGGATCTTAGCAACCCAACAAAGCTTGCTTTTAAAGTCTCTTAGAGAGGCAGCCCCCAGTTCATATAGTTGATATTATGTGAAGAAGCCCAATTTATTTGTGCAATGGCTGCTTGAATGCACATTTGGAGAATCCACCCCAGCATCTTTTAAAACATATGATTTAAGTTTAAAGATAATTTAAGGGAAAATAAAAAAAACAACAGAAGATAACCTAGAGTCTCTCCACTGAACTTGTTTTATTGGAAGCGAAGATTTTTTTTTCCATGAACTTGTATGTGAAAGGTCTGTATGTTTTCTTCTGTTCTGCTGAACAGCATTATTAGAAGTTGATTGGGCCTGCAGCTGTGTGCAGGATCTCTGTATCTTTAGTGTGCTGAGATGCTAGGAAAGGCATTTGGGGTCATATCTGATTGTTTTGCAAAGCATACAAATGCTTCTACTTTAAAAACGTAGATCAGCAATGATACCTTCAGCATGAAACCGCCCAATGTAGCCAAGGCATAATTTTATTATCCCAGATGAAAGACAAGTATGACTTCATTGTGTTTTGTATGAAAAACATTATTTTGAGTCTGTCTGGTTCCTGCCAGCTTGCTTAGCTGTGTTATTCAGTAAGTTTGGCGTGTGATAACTTTTTCTGAGTCTGGCGTGCAGAAAGAAAGAAAATAAGGCCAGATTGGAGCAGCCATCTATTTCTATGGTTTTATTCTGCCTGTTGAGTTCTTTGTCAGACAGTTGCAGTCTGCTACAGTACAACTCCAGTTGTTTGGCGTAAGTGCATCCCAACTATAGTGTCAGTTCTCTTCCAGAGTGCTAAAAGACGTGATTGTGTTTAAAGGCTAGGAGGGTCTGGCCTTAGCTGCTGGGACTCTGGCTTTTCCTTCTTTGATCTATTATAAGAGGTGATAATCTTTAAATCTGTTATCTTGATGAGAACAAACTTGCCAGCCCTGACAAGAGAGCGTTTTCTTAGGCAGGTCTGAGCATAAACCACCCGAGGCAAGAAGCTTTGTCACTGCAGCAGTCTGGTGCAGGTGTACATGCCCTGCTACAAAGGTACATTAATTCGCCATAGGAACGGGTCCATGGGGGACGTGGCTGATGTCCCACCAGGCGGGCGTAGCCCCGGGCCTCAATGCTCTCTGCAGGACCAGCACGTGCCAGAGAGCTGCACGCCCGGTCCTGAGCTCTCTAGAGAGGCCGCTGAGGGTTAAACATCTTCTCAGCCAGCTCTCCACTAGGGTTGTGGGAGCTGGAGTTTTCGACAAGGGTGAAAAGTCAATATTGCCTTGTTGACTTCCACTTGGGGGTGAAAAGAGAATTCAAATGGATGAATCTCACAGATGTAGAGAAGTCATTTCTAAATTACAACTCCATTATTCTAGTAATTCCATAAATAACATTTCTTTCAAGACTGATCTTTTATTTTGGTATTTTAGAATGGAATTGGCGTATTTGTCTCCTCAGTTTGGGAATCATTTTTTTCTTATTCTTTCTTCTCGGAAACAATTGTAATGAAGTAGGAAAACTCAGTTTTCATCTACTTTTTGTGGGCTTTTTGATATAGAAAATATAAGACCAAGCTTACAAGGTACTGAATTGAAAGGCAGACTCCCCTACAAACGCATTCAAATTTTTACCCAGTGTTCTGTTTCGTTGTTTACTGCATCTCCCTACACTTCATTGAGCTTCACTGAAAAGGAGGGATAACGAAAGAAAAACAATTTCAGAAATGGTTTCCGAAAACAATATCAGTAAATACGAAGTGTAAGATTAATTTAGCAATGTTTAATTTTCCCTAATACTTTTGGAAAAGGATGTTTTTTAGAAAAGTCTGTTCATTTGATTTACCTGTTAGTCTAATTGAATTTTTTAAGTAGCTCTACTTAAGTCAGTTGAGTGAAGAGCCTTTAGAAGAAGAAAAAAAAATTATATGCACTTAATGAGCAACAAAGTTAGTGATCTGCAGCAATTACCCAAGTGAGTAATTTTCTTTCATTAATGCACCCTAAAGGACCAAGCTGTTTTTGTCAATGGGCACTGCAGGGCCATTGCGATGCTCAAAGAGACAGTTACGTTACCAACCGTGGTGTAAAGGATGAGTTTACCAACAAGGAGAGAGAGAGAAAGTACCTTAGCATGAGAAGAAGATTAAAGATCATCTGTTATTGTCACAAAAGCCAATGGCAACACTTTTAAAGACTGTAGTGGAGCAGGGTCACACATCAGGTTTTTTTCCAACTTTTCTAACTTCCAATTTCTTGGTTACTGTTTGTTTTTGTAAGAGAAAAGCTTGTTACACATAGCACCTCAGTTTGAAAGGGGAAGGAGGACATGTACCTGGCTTACTTGAATCCTTCTCAGAGGAAAGTAGAAAAACAGATAGCAGAAATGAGGGCAAAGCTGCATTATAACTTCTAGGCGTCTCTGGATCACTCGATATGGGACACACAGAGCGTATGATATATTAAGGTGAGATATTGAATATCCATAAAGGAGTACTAGCAAATGGTGTCAATTTTCAAACACTTTGCTTTGTCAGCTTCATAAATATAAAATCAATCATCAAAAAGTCTCTGTATAGATCGGATGAAGAGACATAAAACCTTATGGTTATCTCCCTGACAAAAAAGTTGAAATTAAAGATGAGTTTATAAAGACTCAGACTGGCAGAATTCTGTAGTGCTAAAAACCAGGGTCATTCAACCTCTCAGTTTAGAAATAAATGCTGAGGGAAAACAATGACACCCAGTACGCTGCTAATAAATACATCTTGGAGGACAGTTGAACATGCAGAAAAATAGATTTCACAGAGAGGTTTATTTTCAGCGTGAATGCCATTTTCTCAACACATTATCATAAACATGAGAGAAAAAAGAGCTAAAAAATAAAAAATTCTTGGGCAGTCCCCGGAGACTTGTCAGAATTGTGTAGTTTTTTCATGCTGCAGTGTAAAAGTATTCATTAAAATTAATTTTTAAAATGGCCTGTCCAATATTACTTTCCTGACGTCCTTCCTGTGGTCATAAATTATAAATGAACCAGCAAAAAATGAAGAAACCGTGATTCCGTCAATGAATTATTTAAGTGTGATTGTTGGTTTTTGCAATCATTGGGCTAATAAACTTAGGCTGGTGATACTGAAGGGTTTCTCATTTGAGGGTGATGATGGTGGTAATATTATTAACACCATTATCAGTGTGTCCTGTGAAGCCAAAACCCAATGGGCCCCTTTGGTGGCTACATGGTGGCACAGCCACTGGCCCTTTCATTCGGTCCGTACTGCAGGAGAGGGAGCCGACAGCAAGGAAAGTCGGTGTGACCGGGGTCCACAGGGTGGCTCCCCCAAGGAAACGCTTTTTTAAAGACAAGCAGCACGCACTGACACGAGGAAGTCTTCTCCCCACAGCAGCTTGCCGGTGCCGGCGGCACACGCAGCTGGCTTGGCCCATTCCAGCGGCGGGGCCGGGAGCTCCAGCGAGTCCGAGAGCAGCTCCGAGTCCGACTCCGACAGCGAGAGCAGCTCCAGTGACAGTGAGTGCAACGAGGAGTCGCGCAGCGTCACACCCGAGGTAAAGTCATGCACGTGGCTCCTCTCCGGGGTGGGGGGGGCTCACAGAGGAAAACGTGGAAGGGAGTGAAATCCTGCTCCCTGGTAGGAAAACGTTGGAGTTCTGTGCTCTTTGATGCTGTCGACTTTTCTCTCCCTTTACAGTTTTATGTGTATGACCCACATACTCATTCTAGGCTTTGGAAGAATCCTTCTGGCCTACATTTGAATTGCTTTAAAGAAATATTTAGATTTTTGCCAGTAGCTAGAGAAGATTTTATTGACACAGTATTCAGCTGGGACCAAGGAAAGGCAACATGACAAAACTATGTCTTCAGGGACCAGCTAAACTTTTTAGTTGTATTAAATTTCTCCAGGGCCACATTGTAAACCAGATAAGGAAGCCTAATTAACCATAAATACTCCATAAATACTCCCATAAAACTAGCAGTCACCACTAGTTGACTGAAATAAAAGGGTGCATTAAAAACGTTCTCGTTTAAAGGGAAAAGCGTTGCTTCTGCCTGAGATTTGTTCCTTGTCATTCTTCAAACTGCAGCCTGAACCTCCCTCAACAAACAAATGGCAGCTGGATAAATGGCTAAATAAAGTGAACCCCCACAACAAGACCATTATCAACAATCAAAATGAGCCTCACAGCGAAACCAGTTCCCAGGCCCAGAGCAACCAGCAGGCCGAAGGGCCAAACAAAGGGAAGCTCAACAGCAGCCTGCCCCCAACCGATTCCAAAGACCGGGCAATCCTTAGTCCCATCCGAGAGAAAGCCAAACCGCGGGTTGCCCAGAAAACCCCAGAGGCAAAAAGCTCCAAGCAGAAGTCACCAGCTCATAATGAGCCAACTTCACAAAGGACTACTGGGAAAAAGCAACCCAAAAAGGTAGAAAGGACTTCCAGTGTAGAAGAGTATAACTGGCCCAAACCAAATAATACCAGCAACACTCCCAAAGAAAAAGACACACAGGAACCCCCCGAGCAGCCAAAGGTTCGAACTAAAGCAGCAGTTGGGAAGACCGCTCCAAGGAAAGAACCACGAACTAGCACAGGGCTCACTTCCGAGAAGAAAAAGTACAGAGGCCCCAGCAAAATTGTCCCTAAGTCCCGGGAATTCATTGAAACGGATTCATCTACTTCTGACTCAAATACAGACCAGGAGGAGAGCTTGCAGGCTAAGGTATTGCCAGCGTGCGCTGGGTCTGGCAACGGTGTCAAAGCGAAGGACTCTGGCAGTAACATTCTCAGCGTAAGTAGTTTAACCAGCAATGGCAGCAACACGTCCATTGACCAGACCAGCAATGACCTGGAGGAGCAGCTCTTTTCTCCTATCCCAGTCGTACAAAATGAACTTCTGTCCCCACTCAGAGAATATGAAGAACTCAAATCTCTGTGGGTGAAAATAGACCTCAGTTTACTCTCTAGGATACCTGGACAAGAGCCTTTTGAGACCACATCTGTGAAAAGTGAACCAAGAGAGACAAATATGAAACACAGGCGGCCATCTCGAGAGTCCCCTACCCCAGCAGCTGAAAAACCACCCACGAAATCCAAAAGGAAACACAAGGTAAGTCATTTTCATCATTTGGAGGAAAACACTGAATTTCTGTGCATCGTCAAGGTCACGACCACAGTCGGTGGCTCCTCACAGCACCTGCAGCAGGGCTGGGAGGAGGCATCGTAATGTGGCCTTCGTGTTTTTACAAAGGACCTGCATTTACAAGTGCATTACAAATTAGCATCAGAAACCTGTAATAAACAAACTCCAGCTGAAAAAATCAATGAACAATGTATTTTTCTGAGATTTGTCTTGGAAGCTTTTTCACTGTCTTCCCTCACTTATGCATTAATTCCCAGTGTCCCGTAATCTGAAGAAAGATTTCTGGTGATGAATTCGTATTACTATGGGTTCACCCATGCTCAGGAAGTGTGACTTCTGTTTGGAAGGCAGGGTTTTATTGTCCATGGAATTAAGGCATTTTCACCACTGGCTTAAATAGGTGTAGCTTCATTAAAGTTGGTGGAATGGTGTTTGCTTATGCTCCTTTACACTGTTTTTTTGTATAAACAAATGTGATTCACAGAAATATCATTTGCTTAACTAGTTGCTTTCTCTACACTGCTAGATGAAAAAGCAAATATATTTTGACTTAAGGCGTTATGTTTTATTATGTGGTTTATGTTATTTATGCCCAAGGGTATCCTATCTTGTGGGATATGACAATGCACTTCAAACTAAATTCGTTTTCAGGAAAGAAACTAAAGTTTTTTTGATAAATGAGGTTTTGTAGTCAGGTTTTCCAGCTGAAGTGGTTGGGCTCTGGTCTGTCTGTGAGGAGTCATCATCGCATATTTTTTTATATCCCAAATCTTATAAATCATTGTGAATGTGCCTTCAGCTGTCTGTTCTAGTGGACTTCTCAAAATCCTGAATTTGAGCAGTCCAGTGATACAGGAGAGTTAATACAAAACAAAGACAGACAATGCAGGGCAGACACAGGGTCTGCACCCCTGCCTGTATGAGTCACTGCACTGGCTCCTTCCACATTGAATTAAGTGGAAATAATCACATAAGTAAACTCAGCAGGTTTTCATTCAATTTATATTCTAGCTGTATACTAAAGGCAGAGATATAAGAAGGGAGGAGAAAAGAAGAAAGAGGAAAGGGATGTATAGCTCTACATGCTTATCTGTACATCAGGGTGTTTATGAATTATACAAAAAACCTTCTTGCTCAGTAACCTAGTGGAGTGTCAGTGTGATGGAAAAGCAATCTTGCCTAAAAATCAAGTAGAGTATTGTCAATTAAACTTAAGGCTCCCAGAGGAAAAAAAAAAAAAAAAAGAGTTGTATGAAAGTTGGAACCTCATAATTTCATTACCTGAGACCTTAAATCAGAATCTCCCTCTGGGACTGTACAAACACAAGCTACACCCTGAAACAGCCCGTTCAGTTGCTACATGATTGTTCACTGCTACCCAAGGGGAAACAAACCAATTAGGATGACTTGAGGGTATATCAACAGTTAAAAGAAGATAGAGAGAGCCTGATTTGTGTTTCTAAATCATGCTATTAAAAGATTTATTTTAGCCATCTACTAGTGAGCTTGAAGGCTGATATGAAGGTTCCGGTGACAGAGCAGTAATCAGCTTTGCTTGTATCATCCTAGTTCAGGCACAAAAGTCATGCATCAGGGAATCTTTCAAAGCAAATTTTTAAACCAGCTATCGCTGTTAATGACTACCCCAGCTCAGTCCTGTAGTCTTTTAGTCCTGTGAGGAATACTTACTCGGGGAAGTTTTCCCATCAACTTCCATTAAGTCAATGAGTAAAAGCTATTTACTTGGGTAAGATTTGGTGCTATCACGTCATTCCATCTGAATTATTAATTAAATTCCAATGCACTACAGAAGATAACTATAGCACACGAGGTGTTTTGCTTCCTAATTATCTGGCTATGCCACTTGTTACATAACTTCATGTCGTGTGTTTGGAGCACATTTAGCCTTGATTTCAGGTGACTTTCACTTCTCTTACACCAGTATTTTAACTGCTGCTACTGTAAAGGAAATTCAGTGAGATTCCTGAGCTCTTCTTAATGGCAAGTGAAATTGTGCATAGATAACAGATCTTTCAAGCTCTGCTTTTGTTGTTAAAGCAGACAGAAAGCCTGGATACCTTTGTTGAAAGCAAGAAGCAGCGCCTGGACGACCCTTCAGCTTCATGCCTGCTCCCACCTTGTATCTCTCCGATACCAAATCACAGATTAACCAGCACTAAAGAGTAAGTTCTTTTTTTTTCTTTTCACATAACACTCATGAGTGATTTCACGGTGCTGTTCTGCAAATGTCTTTGCGGTAGAGCCAGATGGGCTTTACAGCCCATAAGCGTAAGTGACCTGACATTGCTGTTGCCATCCATCAGGAAGAGGATCCACATGGTTTTGGGTGAGATTCATTCATCCTTCCGACGGACTACAGGAATTGAGTGCCACCACAATCCTAGTGTGCTCTCCCACCCCCATTCTACATCTTTCCAATGTTCTTTCTTGCCCCCATTATCCTTAACCTCTGTGGCCGGAAGATCCTACTAAAAGTGGGCTTTATTTGATTGCCTGGAATTTATTTTTTTTAAATCGTTTTTGTAATAGACAGTTCTCAGTTTTACGAATCGAAATGGTGACTTTGACGTTCACTTCAGCAGCTCTTACTCTTTCAGCTGTGTGTACAGCAATGCCAGGGGTGACCATCCTAAATGTTTCAGGCGTACGTGCTTTGGATTTCAGCAGACATATAATCAAATAGTTTGTGCCTTTCAGAGTGTCTTTGAGAGATGGCTATAATGCTTGAGCAAACAGGCACCACATAAATAATGATTCTGATTAGTATAATCACAAGATTAACATTCTATAAATAACCAAAGAGTCCAATTCCCTTCTGTCATCAATTTTGTGCTTTTACAATTTTGAGATGAGGTACTTCTTTCTGCTTCACACTGAGAAAAGCAAAGAATCAAACCTGCCGTGTGCTTCTGAAAACAATTTGATTGTAGCACTATATAAATTTAGATAAAGTTCAAAAATCATTTAGGAAGTAGCACACAAGATTTAAAATTCATGAAAAGGATGAGCCTAATTTTATTTATACTGGTATAACTAGAAAGTAACTTCAGTCCTTGAACTAACCCCTCATTCCACCACTGAGAAAATCGGAGTTGGAAACTGGAAAAGGCAGATGAGTTGAAAGTTAGAATGTGATTTTTAACATGTTGCACATTTGATAAACATCATGATGGGTGTTGCTTGGATGTCATTGCTAGAAATACAGTGAGCAGAGATATATTGCTGAGGGAATCAAGGATTATCCATCCCCAACACCTACACAATCCATTAAAAGAATATTACTATTCTTGTCACCAGCAAGCCCTAAGGATCCACCCTCAACCTGATGTTTCTTAATTCGAGCTTGTTTTCCAGGTCATTAATTTGATTCCTTGGAGCTTTCAAGCCTTTGGTATTCTCCGTTAAAATATAATTGTGTCCATCAATAGTTATTTCCATATGCTAGCTTTTCCTCTCATCTGCTTCAAGTTTTGAAATAACATTTTCTGACACCTTTTCCACTGCAGTGATTGAGACCTGGATCGCACTATATTTGTTATTAGTGTCTTCTGAGTTTACTTGAAACTAATGCAATATTGTTTGGTAATTCAGGTCTTCAACTCCCAGAGATGTACTAACTGAATATAGATCAATGTATTTCCCAAAAGATTAGGGAGCTGGCTGAACTGTGTGACAACAAATTTCTGTAGAGCCCCAGACTGATTTTAAACAGTCAGGAGTGGTTTTGTTCTCCAGAGTGCAAAGTGGAGTTTTAAGGGGAGGCAGAAGAAAGACGAAGCTGAAAGTACACCGCTCAAGGGCATGGGGGAAAAAGAACACTGCAGTGGTAAAAGATTGGAAGACAAGCGTTGCCATTTGCTCCTTTATTTCAAAAGGTTCTACATTTTCTTTCAGGACTCTATGTCTTTATGTAAGGACTTTGAGCAATGAGGGTGGTTCAGCTACAGGTGTGATGATGCTGTTCATCCATTAAGAAGGTGGTGTGTCCCGTGGTGGATGTTCTCACTTGGGAAGAACCTTAGGTCTCTCCCATTAGAACTTGATTTCCATGCCAACAAGCCAAGCTCTCCAAAGCAGACTTCAGAGACATTCATTGAGCTTTTCTATAGGTACAGAGTGTTTTGACAGAAAGTGTGGTTCTGTGCTTCAAGACCATGATCTCTAGACCAAAATTTGAGAGTCTCCTTCTCTGGAGACTTTCAAAACCCACCTGGACGCATTCCTGTGTGGCTGCCTGGGGTGATCCTGCTCTGGCAGCGGGGGTTGGACTAGATGATCTCTAGAGGTCCTTTCCAAACCCGAACATTCTATGATTCTGTGATTCTGTGATTTGGAAACATTCAGGAGTCTGGAGGTATCAGTGAAAAACAGGCCACACCTGTGCTTTTGCAGCTCCTGTTGGCTGCCTCTCTATGGTTAAGGCATTTGAGTACATTTTTCTCATAATCTTTCCCTCAATATATAGGCTCAGTAAAGCAAGCAAAGATGCATAATTCATTTTTAAAGACTCACATGTCTAATATGGGCAATTATATGCTTAATTTCCACAAGTTTCTATGACTAGCTATACAACTTGAGTGTCAGTTGTGAACATAAAAGCCATTCACTCAGCCAAAGATCTAGTTTGTATTTTTAGCAACTACTTATCTAGCATTAATTTCATGTGCTGCTGAACATCACTTATAGCTGAATACCTGATTGGTAGACCCAGTCCAGACAAAGCACTATTGACAACATTTGGCAGTTTGTACCAACAGAGATTTGTACCAACAGAGAGTTATTTGCTGATGCGAACTGTGGGTCTGAGTTTCAAACCAGACTCACACCAGTGAAACATGCCTGTAACAGGCCTACTGGAACTGAGGCAAGCTTTTCAGCCTGTTTTTCAAGATTTCCTGTTCCCTTTTGTTTGACCTTTAGTTAAAGATGCACCTGTACGTGACAACACATACTAGCCCATCCCTTGGATAGTCACAACAGTGTTCACTGGGGTTCGTCACGGCAGAGGCAGCCTTCTCCATCTATGACAATGACTTCAGCCTCATTCAGTTGCTGCCATATGGTCCAAGCTAATGCGAGAGTGACCTTTCCCTGCTAACCCCCGGCAAAAAATCATATACGCCCTCAGTATGCAGCGTTTCATTGTGGACAGCAAGAGCAGAGGCAAAGTAAAGCCAAGTGATTGGTAGGGACAATGGCTTTGTCTCACTAATAGGCCAGAGATGCCACTGCATACCACGAGGAGTGGATAAAGGAAGGGCAAAGAAAGGCAGCTTGAAATGTGAGAGTAGATGGAAATTCTCTCTCCTTCACACACTGATCTGTTGTTGCCTGCTTGCTTGCTTTCTGCCCCAAAAGAAACCAGGCTGGAAAAAAAAAAGAAAAAATAGCAGATGAGGAGCCTTCTCTTTCCTTGATAATTGGCCTTTTCAGATGCGAAGATTAAACCCTGCAGCCACAAGACCATCAGTTCTGCTTGTATTTTTTCCTTGCACTTTTATTGTGTTTCTCCCTAGATTTTAAATATAGTTTAACTAACAATCATGTCAGCAAATTAAACCGTTGAGTCTCGGTAATTATTGCAATAAATTCATTCAAAATTAGTGATTACTGCAATCAGAGACCAGTTTCTTAGCCCATTAACAGCCCAAAGCAAAGTGACAATCTGGTTAACTGCTGGTAACAACCTATTTCATGGAGGTTATTGTTAATGTAAATGCTTTGGCATAAATCTGAGGGAGGTAATATTGCTAAATAAATTATCAGCTTAATTCCTGTGAAAACTCATAGGATTAAGTGGACAATAGAGAAGAATAGAAAAAGAAAAAAAAAAAGTAAAACCAGTTGGAATTATAGCTGTAAAGTATTGTTGGGGTTTTTTTTAATTTGTGTAGGAAAAAAATATCCTCAAGTGTTTTTGCCTTTGTGGTTAAGTGTTCCCACCCACAGAATGACAATGCTGAGTAGCTGCACTTGTATCTCTCTTTTCCCTATCTTATATTTGAGCCCAAAGATGAACTGTGAAATTTTAAGTAGTGAAGTTTCAATCATGGTACCTGCAACCTTCTTAACTTTTTCCTGTACTACTCTCTTAATCTGGTCACCTCTGTGTAGGAGCTGAGAAATGTTGCCTTGATTGCTTTATATTTGCCTTAAATTTCTCCGTGCAGTGGTAGACTCTGTTCAAGCAACAGAGTCCTGCCTTAGCCCTGGGAATAGCCACCGGTAGGCTGAGGGACCTCCCTAGTGGTGCAGGGTCACATCCTGAAGGGAACTTGGCCAGTGACTCACATTCAGTTTTTCTTCAGATGCTTTTGAGATAGATCTGCCAGACTTGGTTACTCTCTCTCCCCTTTGCAAAGCTGTACCAGGGCAAAAGAAGAGCTCCACACACCTCCGTGCACAGGGCCGTGGAGAAACCACCTCACTCTGTGCTCCCACTCACACAGGTTCCCTGCGTAGGACGCTCATTTGGGAGGCAGAGGGTTTGGATTCCGCTCATGGGTATTTCGTTAACTGTGTCTGCTTTGCCTCTGTACAATCCAGTAACACATGCTCGCTGTCTTGGGGCAGCACTTACACTCCTCTGGAAAACTTTCCTCTGGAAAAAGTTCAGAGTATTGTTGCTCTATAGCTATGGTAACTTGTCTGTGTTCCAAAACGCCCTTTGGGGGTAAGAAAGCTAACAGATGGGGCTTTGAGTGAGAACTTTTTGGAGGACATGTTGCAGGACCGCATGTGCGTAAAGTCAGTCTCCTCAAAAAACTGCTTGTCTTTTCCAGCCTCGTTGCTTTCCTTTGATCTTCTTCAGGTCCATGTGTTTTCTGAGCAGGACAGCATCCACAGCAGTCCTGCCATCAGGCACTACCGATTCTGTGCTCGTTTATTTTTTCAGTCTGAAAGTCTTTACTATCAGAGAGTTTCAAAAAAGATACTTTAATTCTGCGTCAGTACAATTAAAAAATGAGGAGTTTGTGATTTCACAGATAGGCTAAAATATTTTTTAGGGGGCCAGTTAGCTCAGTCAGTTGAGCATGGCGCTAACAACGTTAAGGTCGTGGGTTCGATTCCTGTTCGGTCCCCATGTGTTGCCTGATCTAGTCGAGAGGTGGCGCCCCTGGCGGCAAGGAGACTGGATTAAAATGGTCTCTAAGGTCCCTTCCAGCCTAGGCCATTCTGTGATTCTATGATTTTTGTATCACCAAAGGTTCAAAGTAGGGAAATGACCAAAGCAGGTGTAGATACTGATACTGTTGGTGAAACTGCAAAAGAGGCCAGACTGGAATGAGAGAGAGCTCCAGAGAGAGGACGAGCCAACAATGTGCCCTTGCAGCCAAGAAGACCAGTGGCATCCTTGGGTGCATTAAGAAGAGTGCTGGAGAGGGTGCAGCAGAGGGCCACTAAGATAATGAGGGGACTGGAGCATCTACTGTATGAGGAAAGGCTGAAAGAGCTGAGTCTGTTTAGTCTGGAGATGAGGCTGAGAGGGGATCTCATCAGGGCTTGTAAATGTCTAAAGAGTGGGGGTCAGGAGGATGGGACCAGACTCTTCTCAGTGGTCTCCAGCAATAGGACAAGGGATAGTGGTCACAAACTGGAAAACAGGAGGTCCAACCTAAACATGGGAAATACTTCTTTGCCATGAGGGTTACGGAGCACTGGGACAGGCTGCTCAGGGAGGTTGTGGAGTATCTGTCTTTGGAGGCTTTCAAAATCTGCCTGGACATGTTCCTGTGTGATCCACTGTAGGTGATCCTGCTCTGGCAGAAGGGTTGGACTAGATGACCTTCAGAGGTCCCTTCCAACGCTGCCCATTCTGTGGTTCTGTAAGGAAACAGGTT